TTTGTTGAGTGTATATATATATATATATATATATATATATATATATATATATATATATATATACACACACACATTTTAAAGTGCATAAAAGTTAACTATACTCAAAAAAATAGTTTTGGCTCTTTTTTATATTTTTGAAAATGTTAATTGCCATTCGAAACTAATTTTTCATTTGTAAAACAACATATTCTGAGTGAAAGTGAAATTGTGTCACATTATGAGAATAAAAGGTTGGGTCTTGATTTTAACCAAAAAGATAATGAATAGTGTGCGTTACATACCAGGATTTGCAGGTATGCTAAAGAAATTCTTAAATATCTATTTGCTGATTGGTTAACATTATCCAATAGTCTGTGTGGCCTCAGTGACATCAGCGGAAAGTATCAGACTATCAGAGTAAGTTATTACTGTACAGTAACAACACTTTACAATAAAGCATTTATTATCTAGTTCATGTTCATTTTAACATTACCTAATTATTCAAAATTATTTAATGGACCGGAGCTAACATAAACAAACAATGAACAGTTGTATTTTTATTAAATAATTAACAAAGATTAATACATACTGTAACAAATGTTTTGCTCATTGTTAGTTTATGTTGACCTTAATGGGACCTAACATTTTGATTAAAGATGATGAAGGAATAACAGGCAGTGATGAACTGTTCACAATAAGACCAGAAACATCTATTAATTAGGCAATTATGGCCTGTTTCAGTGTCACATTCACTTGATGGTATCGGTGTGTGTGTGTGTGTGTGGATCTCACCTGTGATGTGTTTCAAAACGTTTTGCGGTTTGGCTCCTGTGAACAGCCCAAAGGCCCTGTGAGCTCCAGGATCTCCATAAGCGGCATTGCAGTGCTTTTTCTCGCTCTGTTAAAAGAAACAGTATGGCACATGCACAAAAGGGTGACAGAACTGTCATATTAGCTGAACATTTCCTTTAAGTTCACTTGCAACTAGTAAACTAAAGGGCAACATTACTTGTACTTGACTTTTTGAGCATGCCTATATTCAGCTTGCTAGGATGTCTGGCTCTACCTCAAAATTACGAATAAACACTTTTGAGACAACCTACTAAACTATGAAAAACTCCACTTAGTGTTAAGGGAACATAATGTGTGTGTCTTAAAACCTAGTGAGCTCCCTATTTAGACAGCAATTATGCTACTTCTTTTCGTTAGTTTTTTTATTTGTATGCCTTAATGCTCTTCATCTTGTTTATTCTTAAGCAAATTGCCTTTTGTTGTTTGTTTCAGTTTGTGTACATTGTGTTTGTACTATTTTCATCATACACAGCTAAGCTGCAAATGTTTGGAGTTGATGTAGAATTAGCACCGTTAAAAAACTGAAACTGTGTGTGTGTAAGACCCTCTTTCACACACATAGACTGTCTCTTACCCTGCAGAAATCCATTAGAGCGTCTATATGCAGCTCAAAAAGACAGAAACACGCTAATTTTAACTTTATAAAACAGTTTAGGCCGCCGCTGCTCGACGACACAAACCAGAACACGTTTCAGTCATTTTTGAATGCAGTGCATGACTCCAGCATTAGCAAATCACGCACAAGGTGGAGGCCGGGGCTAGTTGTCACACGGGAAGTTGTCACGAGGGTTATATTTCAGTAACTAAAAATGTGCTTTAAACACGCATAAATTAAACATACGAAAAAAGTGTAAATTATAATAATGTCTGTATATAATGTCTGTAACATTTGTGATCAGAAATTGAGGAAAAAAATATTTTGACAGTTTTACAATTTAAATCGAGATGAAAAAGCCAATATTCTTTGCTACATTGTAACCGCTATTGGGGCATGTTGTCACACGTATGTTCAGTGAATTTTTATACGAAGTCGTTCAATTACCTTTTGTAGACAAGGCATTAAGTTATGCGAGTCTGTATAAAGAAATTGCGTTTCGTAAATAAACCAACTGGAATAAAGTGTGACAACTTGCCCCGGTCACACCTGTCTGTATAAATCTCAAACCATACAAACACATCAAAATAAAATAAAAAAATAGAAGACATCTTAATTTGAGAATGCATTCTCTTTTATTGACATTTAAAACTCTTTATAATAAATAGAGATATAATATTCAAACAGCACATGATTTCCCACAGTCACACAGAGATGAGTCAGTAAAGCTGGATTTCATTTTTAACCCAGGGGAGAAGGAAGATCTGGTTTATGCCATCAAGCACATCATCATAACAAAAAAGGTTTAAAACTAACTACTAACAGTGTCTTCACCAGGATAAACAGCTCCAGACTGCATTAAAATATCTAAAATAACCGGATTGTGAGATACTATATTCTTCTGAGAGCTTCACAAGAACAAGAAGCTGATGAATGTCAGGTGATATACACCAGTCCATAGTCCTAATTCAGTAGTTACCCATTGGCAATTACAGAAAAGACATACGTTTCCTGTCGAAAGAGATGTTGCTACAACATGAAGGCAGTGAATTCATACTGATGTGTTTTGGAGCTTTTGATTTTGCTAAACCAACAGAAAGTGACTGTGTTATGAAACTAATAAGAAAATGTTAGAGAGTTCAACAAAGTTCATGTTTTCTAAACCAGTTTGAAGCGGTTTCTGGAAACAAATCTACTGTCGTCATGTGGATGCGGTCTGGCATCAGATGTAAGACATTGCATTCAGTAAATGTGACAGATAAACACTAAAATAAACTGCACAGAGTTTCTATTGATTTTAGGAAGGTCACAAAGGCAGCAAATTAATCACTCAGATGATTATTAGTCTTGTTTCACTGAGCAGATGGATTTATTAACGGTTACTGACTTGTGGATTACAAGGTGGTTTCCAAAAACTGTCGGCCATGTACTGTATATCCTAAAGAGCTTCTAAATTGAAATTGATGCAGGTTTGTGCAGTAGTTCAGGTGAGTTTATGGTGTAAAGACTGTCTTTGATGCCATGCAACATTCAACAGAAGAACATAAGAGGAACATCCTGATTACGGGGCTGTGAATGTTACTTTCGCTGTTCTGACGTCAGTTCTAAGTATATTTTTGATGCTACAAGCCAGTCCACGTGGGCGAAATATCTACACAGAGATACAAATCAATGCGGTAAGCAGCAGTAGGAGGGTGTTGACTGTAGGGGGCGCCATCACTGCGACAGGGCCTGCAGGATGTCTTTAACCAGCATCGTGCCGATCACCATCTTCTCACAGTTCACCGTCAGCTGAGCTCCGCCGCCTTCCTTCGTAGTTACGGTGACCAGCACGAGACAACCGCTGCTGACCGTTTTACCTGCGAATCTGTAAACAGGAGCGGAAGGAGGAGGAGGAGGTGTACTGAGATTTCAAAAGATCACAGGCCAGAAATACAGGCAGAAAAGCGAAGAATGAAAGAGTTTAACATACTCAAATAATGGTCTCTTTAATCAAACCTACATAAAATATACATGAACATACAAATTCCTCTAAAATATAACTAATACCAGTCCCTCCGTGGAATTTTCGCGATTCTGTGATCACTGAATCCAACGCAAAATCAAAAAATTTCGCTTTTTTTTTTGCGATCCTGCATAATAGCAAAAATTAAGGTCTCACAAAAAACTAAATTATAATTACTAACTGAATTATCCCAAATTTTATTAAAGTTCTAATGCATTATTTTCATGTGATATCAGTGAGTGGTGTGTCTGAAACAGCGAAAGCGAAACTTTCTCACCGGACTCACATAACTGCAAAGCAATATCCTAATGCATTACACCAGAGTGGGGTTAAATTGGGGTACAAAATTGTTTTGTAGGCCTTATAATAAAATATGGATGACAACAGATGACAAAAGAAATTCTGCTGTTGCTATCTCAGTGGACGCAAACATCTGCGACATATGGACTTGTCTGTGGAATCAAACGCAAGCAGTTAACAATGTCTGAGATGGACAACCACTGGACATGAGCGAAATGAAGTGAGTATAAGTGATTATTGACTGGGTGGTATGACGATAAGTGTCAAATCGACAGAGATTTCATTTATATCAGGCACAGCTTTCAGTGGGCAGTACTGTTTTAAGTTATTAACACATTAGAGTGATTAAGAAACAGGATGAATGACAAAATAAAAAGCATCACATGGTTGATTGTAATAAAAAGAGTTATGGTAAATGTACTATCATAATTATATTAAAAAAAAACATCTCAAATTTTGTGCAGATTTTTGGAAATTACCACCACAAAATCAGTCATTTTGAATGCAAAAATCATGAAAAAAATCACGAAATCCTGGAGGGACTGTAATACTCATACAACTAGTTAAGGCCTGATTTTTAAAACTGTATCAATATAGTTATCATACTTGGTGTGAACGGGCCTTTAGAGACCCCGTCCCAAATGACATCACCCCCCACCCCTCCCTCAGCCATTTATTACAGTTTATGCAACATTAAGTGCACTCCAAAAGTCTTCATTTGGGAAAGGACCACTGTCTTCACGTGTGCGTGTTACCTGCACTCTTTATCTGAACCGCATGGTACTCTGCTCAAGTTGGCGGTGGCCGTGACTCTCTCAACGATGACGTGTTCGTTCACGCATTTCTCTCCCAGCGTCAGCTTCTCCAAGATTTCATTCATTCCCATCAGTTTACCTGTGAAAAGAGACAGAAAGCATCTCTTCATCAGATCAGTGCTCCATCAAACTGTCTGAGACATTTGATGGAGCCCAGAGATGCCCAGAGTGCATTGCGACAAACCCCAACTTGGAATTGTCAACCCAGATTGTGAACAGTGTTGGAAAAATTCTACATTTATTTTATTAAGGTAATAGAAATGAATTCCATGTAATTAATTGCATTGTTAGCTTAGCAGCATGCTAATGTCAGACTATTGGACTCAACAGTGAACGTCTGTCTGGTCTCTTGTGCATTAACAAAGCTGCAGCCCACGAAGAGTGTTACAATTCAGTCACTTAAAAGCTCAAAAGTCATTAACAATGCCACCTTGGAAGGTAGCTGTCTATGTAGACCGTACACAACAGGTTTTGTGAGCTGTGCTGAGCGTGCTGGTCTCACAAGTGTCGTGATGGTTCAGGGTCAATCGGACAGGTTCAGTGTTTCTAAGATGCAGCATAATGTTACCTTGACATGCTGTGAGGAAATGCATAGTCATGGTAACAGTCGCCAAGGCGATATCTGGAGACTGCGGTAAGAGGGAGGGGCAGCTGAAAGCAAAAGCATTTCTAGAATAACATGAAGAGGGTGTGCAGCTAACAAAAATATGTTCTAAGAACATTTTGCTAACATTCCGATTAAGTCATGAAAACGTCACAATGTGCAAAAATCTGTCAATGTTCTCTGAATTTTCAAAATGTCCAGTTTTTCAAATGTTTTTTCTTTGTTATGCGAACATTCCATTTCATCATTTTGCAAAATTATGGGAATGTTACTTATGACATACAGTACATGTTACATACATACGTTAGATGAATGTCAGACTCAAATGTTTCACAAAAAATGAATTCCATTGTATAAATAACGTTTTTCAGTATTAAAGATGAGATAACTTTCAGCAAGTGTTCTATTAACATTACTGGAAGAACATTTGTTCATAACTTTGAGAGAACCTTGCCAGAACATTAGCCAAAGTTCTGAGAACGTTCCCTGTTAGCTGGTTGTGTGTGTCTGTGTGAACAAATCAGGAACTATAGGGGAAGAGTAAGTGTAGCAATACTGTAAGTGTTGCGCTAATTGGCTACATCAGAGAAACTTACCATTCAAAAGATTCTCTAATGAACAGCAGCAAAACGAGCCCACGGAAGAGGAAAACATGAGTTTGTTAAACTAATATGCTTAAACAAATACGTTAATATGCTAAACTAACAGATGTGTTAGCGGCATACTAACTAACCACAGGCTGAATTTCAATTCACACACTATCCATGCTATAACATATGCTAGATTCAGATTAGTCTACCACATTATGTTAAAAATAGTACGTCTATGGTACTGCATCTAAGTATGCATGCTAATATTACACAACACCTTTGCACTATGGTAAATAATGGATTTTAAGTGAATGAGTTTAGCTAGAAGCTAATGCTAGCATGCAAATGGTAACAGTACATGAGAAAGGGGTCTATGGTATCAAGAGTCAAAATTCTGGTTACAAATACGAATTCAGATTAGGAAAAGCCATGAAACATGAAATTCATATTTCATGAATAATGAAAGAGAGACATAAAATCTTCTCTCTTTCTCATATCAACTCTTGAAAATGAATTTCAGAGAGACACTACTACATAGGAAGAGAAAAATGACAGATGTTTTGAGGAAAAGGAGCAATCAGTAGGGCAACTGTGAGTGTTAAAACGAGAATGGGCTGACGTTCTCTCACCTTGCTCCTTCTTGAAGTTGTTTTCTGTCAGAAATGTTGGTGTCATTAGCTCCCCGACGGGCGGCTGGATGGAAACGAAGAACTTGCGGGTGTGAGTACTGAAAAAAGTAAACAAAGATGCTTGGAATTGGAGTCAAGAAACTGCTATATGATATATATATGAATGGAGATCAGCCAATCA